TAAATAAAACTAAAGATTACCAAACCAATTCTACTGCTGGTGGTGTTGGTTTAGGCCCTCACACGGTGAAGGCCAGGGCAGGGCAGAGGCCTTCACATTCTTCTTCTCCCTTTCTTGCCCTTCATAGACTGCATAAGTTGGAAATACCCACACTTCACACCCTAACACACTACAACCATGTAAAACCCTGTTTCAGCTTCCTGAGGAAGAAAAGCCTTTGCTGGGCTTTCTTCACCAGGTAGGATGTGTTCAGAGACCAGGTCAGGTCAGATGTGATGTGGATGCCTAGGAACTTGATGTTATCCGCTTGCTCCACCACCTCCCCGTGTATGAGAAGAGGAGCATATTTTGTCTTCGTGGACCTCCTATAATCCACAATGACCTCCTTAGTCTTGTTGGTGTTCAGGACAAGATTGTTATCTGAACACCACCTTGTCAGGTGCTGGATCTCCCCTCTGTAGTGAGTCTCATCATTGTCTGAGATGAGACAGACAGTGGTGTCATCTGCGAACTTCACTACTGTGTTTGTGGGGTGAATGGCATCACAGTCATGGGTAAACAGAGTGAAGAGAACTGGGCTGAGCACACAGCCCTGTGGTGTGCCTGTGTTCAGGACCAGTGTGGATGATGTGCAACTTCCAATTCTCACCACTTGAGGCCTGAGTGTGAGAAGGTCCTTAATCTAATGATACACCATTGCAGGCATTCCCAGATTGTGCAGTTTCAGTGCCAGTTTGTCTGTGGATACAGTATTAAATGCTGAACTGAAGTCAACAAATAGCATCCTGACATCAGTGTTAGGATGCTCCAGGCGGGACAGGGCTGTGTGTAATGCTATTGAGACAGCATCCTCTGTTGATTGGTTCTCTCTGTAGGCGAACTGATGGCTGTCCAGACCAACAGGGATGACGTCCTTGATGTGCTTTAGAATGATCCTCTCAAAGCACTTCATAATTACTGGTGTCAGAGCAACAGGGCAGTAATCATTGAGGCAGGTGACAGCTGGGTTCTTGGGCACAGGCACAATGATGGAGGACTTGAGGAACACAGGGACTAAAGCAAGATGCAGGGACAGGTTAAAAATGTCCAAGAAAACTCTTGCCATTTGGTCAGCACATAGCTTCAAAACCCGGCCTGACACCGTCTGGTCCTGCAGCTTTGTTGGTGTTGATCCTCCTCAGGGTGGAGCTCACCTGTGGACCTCACCTGGTGTAGCGGCAGGACGAGAGGCTGGTGCTGTCCCTCGAGCTGAGGGAGTTGTACAGTTCCTCTGCTGCCAGGTGTATTGAAGGGTGCAAAGAAACTATTTAGAGTGTCAGGGAGGGTGGGATAATGGCTGACCTGCTGGTTGTTGCCTCTGTAGTCTGTTATTATTTTGATGCCTCTCCACATACTCTGTGTGTTGTTATTCATGAAGTGCCCCTCAATGCGCTGTTTGTACCTGCGTTTGGCCAGCCAGATGCCCTTCTTTAGTTCTTTCCGAGCCCTGCTATAGGCCAGCCTGTCACCTGATCTGAAGGCAGCGTCCCGAGCTTTGAGCAGACGTACTGTCCAACCATGGTTTCTGGTTTGGAAAAACCCTGATGGACTTTGTAGGTAGGACAGCATCAGTACAGAACTACACATAGTCCAGAACAGCTGATGTACTGTATAAGCCTCCAGATCTGAGCCCTCTTTGAACACCCCCCCAATCAGTATGCTCAAAACAGGCCTGTAATGCTGAAGAAGCCTCCTCCGTCCACACCTTAACTGTTTTGGTGATTGGTTTTGTCCTGCAGATCAGAGGTTTATATGCTGGGATCAGCTCCACAGAGATGTGATCTGACATGCCCAGGTGTGGAGTTGCTATGGCCTTGTATGCTCCCCGGATATTGCAATAAACCTGATCCAGGATGTTATTGTCCCTGGTTGGAAAATTGATGAATCTGTAGAATCTGGGAAACACTGCTTTTAGTTCCACATGGTTAAAGTCTCCAGCCACAATCACAGCCGCTTCTGGGTTTGTGTTCATCTGCCTGCTGATCAGTCAGTATAGCTCCTCCAGCGCTAATTTAGCATTAGTTTGCGGTGGCATATAGACGGCTACAATCCAGGATTGAGCAAATCTCTCACTGTTTTAAAAGGTCTGCATTTCACAAGCTAGGTGAAATTATGAGGGACTATGCAATACTCACATCCTGTGGGTAAAATGCATTGTAAATATGCACATGTTTAAAATCTTGTCCTTGATTTCTCTTGAATACTTCATAGTCTTGTTTTTATGTATTTTTGAGTAATTTTTCAGAGATCCTCATGGCTGAAATACAGTGAGGAACAGAAGTATTTTAACACCCTGCGATTTTGCAAGTTCTCCCACTTAGAAATCATGGAGGGGTCTGAAATTCACATTGTAGGTGCATTCCCACTCTGAGAGACAGAATAAAAAAAAAATTCAGGAAACCACATTGTATGATTTTTAAAGAATTTATTTGTCTAGCACTGCTGAACATAAGTATTTGAACACCTGAGAAACAGCAAGAATTCTGGCTCTCAAAGACCTGTTACTGTGCCTTGAAAAAATCAGTATTAATATTTGGTACAGAAACCTTTGTTTGCAATTACAGAGGTCAAACGTTTCCTGTAGTTCTTGACCAGGTTTGCACACACTGCAACAGGGATTTTGGCCCACTCCTCCACACAGATCTCCTCTAGATCTGTCAGGTTTC